CTAGAAAGCACTACAACTTCGGACTATTGGTTTTACCACTGTTTCCAACAGGGAGTTGAATTCTACATTTTATTGGTTTTATGGTAATATGAGTTAGTGGTCGATTTGTTCACTTTGGCCTCTGTTAACACTTATTTGTTGGGGAGTCAGGATAAAGCGTAGACTCAAATTACTTTAAATTCTATTGCATTCGTTCAGAAGTAATCGTAAAATTGTTTCGATTGTGAATATTTGAACTTAAAATCTTCCATTTGGATAATTTAAAGATATGCTACTTAAACTGTTAATTAACAAAACAATTAGATAAATTAAATGATTTTAAGCTCTGACGAACTTCTGTCATGTCCAAGGTCTGATTTTTGGGCCGCTCACGATGAAACGATGAGAATTAGTCGCAATTTCATTGAATCCCATTGAATCTTGCTTCCAGAAAGGCTTTCTTATCCTTGGAGGATTGCAATTTCTTGATTAATTTGTTAAAACTTGAAAATAATATGGAGTTGAAGAATATTTCTAACGCCGCTTCGCTATTTCAAGTTGGCAGGTTTTTGCTTACTCATTTGCTGTGTACCATTTAATTTAGTGCTTTCTCTATCAAGAAATTATACTTGCGACGTTTTTTTGCCTATAATGGAAATAATAATTTAAATGCTTGCCTCTTTTCTTGAATAGCGGTGCGCACTTGCTGTGTTGGTATAATCTTCGACGCCCTTCGCATTGACCCTAGTTCGGTCGAGCTTGTACTTGTCAGTGAAGTGGATCGGGTGATGCAATGGGCCGAGCCTGCATTTGCCCGTGACCTCATTAATTTGCTCTCTACTGCTATTCCTGTCCCCGGCTCCCGCTCAACGTCCTCCCTTACTCTCTTAGCAAGTGCTAGTAGTAATCCCAATGCCACCTCTAGCATTACTTCAAATTCCTTGGCTACAACTTCCACTTCAACTGCCATTTCTGGGTTGCCTAGCGAGGGACCTCGTCTTCGCGTTGCTCGTGGAGGAGTTACATCCCATCCTGTAACCTCATCTGAATCGGCACTGGGCCTTGACGACCGCCGGCGTCAGATTGTGGAAGGTGTGATACAACAGATAAACTGTCTACTTGAATACAGAGAGTTTATGAACCATCAGTCGAAAATGAGTTCAATGCTTGCTATTCATAACCTTAAAGTGAGCTGACCCCATCTATTATTCACATGAAAATTGATGCATGAATACCTTACTAGTCTTATCTTTCAGTTTTTGCCTGAGATCAAACTTGTTATCCATACTGAGACTTCGTAGGTTAGCCAATTTTAGGTTGTGCTTCTATCGCTTTTAAAAAGTTTTACCTTTTACATCATTGGCATCAAAGGTCATCAATTAGACCGAAAGACATATCTTAATCTTAATTAACAATAATCGATAAGGTATTTATAATCCTATATTTATGGTGATTAATCCCTCTTATTCTAAAGTATAAAAACCAAGATGGTGTGGCTTGATAGTAGCCGAGTTTGATCATAAACTCGATCAATGAAATTAAGGCCTGATCACGATATTTACATGGCGTATAAGCTGAACAATGCTAAGGAAATCTACAGCGTCAAGCTAGTTTTGCATCCAGCTTAAGAATCCAGAGTTTTGAGGCTTTTTTGAGTAGAATAGTCTTTCAGATACTGTTGGTTTTACTTATAAAGCGTCAACGAGAATTCAGAAAAAAACTAAAATTATATTGTATCTGTCTTGTTTCTAATTTTGACAAATCCACTTCTTTACACTTTTATTTTTGTAAATCTTTCCTTATTATTTTTATCCTTAATCGTTGTTCTGTATTCACTTTTATTCTTGTTTCTTCTTTTTACATATTTATTTTACTTTACTATAAGCTCTAAAACTTTATTAGCCCTTTATTAAAATGGATACTTTAATTAAAAGCTGCAAAAATTAATAGCTTATGCCATTTATATTTTACAGATATTCTACGAATCTATTAAACGCAAGGATATGACAATGCGTTATTTATATAAATTGGAGCGTCTTCACAACGAATGCGGAAATAAAATAGAACGTGGCTATACACTTCAGATGATCGGTGAACACTATACGGTAGCAATATTGTCGATTCGCAGTTCATCATTTTACACATACTTTATGCTAGTTTTGCCAAATTATTTTTGAAGCTCTTATATATTTTCAAAACTAAAATTAAAATTTTGTAATCTAGGCATTAACTATGTAAGGAAGTTCATAAGACTCTATTGGCCTCCCAATTTTGCTCTTAGAATGTTGTAGCTTTCGTCTATTCTTACATATGGATAGATACATGTTCTTTATTGGACTTGTTGATTAATGTTGATTTAAATAAAATTTACTTTTTATACAATTACATTAATCTCCTAGTGTTGGGTTTACTCTACTTTTTAATCAAATCG